GGTCTGCAGCCAGCGGCTGGGCAAGGAAATGCGTGTCAAGGGCAAGTATCTTGCCCCGGGGCCCGGCGCCCGGCGCGAGCGGGTCGTAACCCTTCCTGCGCTGCTGGCTGCAGCCGCTCCCCGGCACGAGCCCGTCAAGGCCGTAGCTGTGCGGGCCGTGAGAGGGAGATTTTTCATTAGAAACTGAAACAAAGACGGTGGTTTAGCAGGTGCGGGAATACAGTGAAACCCCCTCAATAAATGTTGGAGTAAGGTGTTTTTCTAAGCTCCAGACTTGTTTCATTTTTGGATGTTTTTAATCTGTAACTCTTCCTTTTGGCTGGTTTGTGATGATCCCACTGACAAAGCCCCATCTCAAGAGATCTTAAGGATACGCCTGCAATTCCTACCCATGCAAAATAAGAAGGTGTAAAGAGATGCACCGTGGTTCTGTCAGGTGCTTCGGGGGCTTTTTTGTGCTCTGCAATTAAATTATATTCTATTTTCCCTCTTTCTTGATCTTCTTTTATTTTCTAGAGCTCCTTATATTTATCCTGTAGGTGAAATAAAGGTTACTTGTCACATAATAGCACCTAGGCTGCCTCTGCCCTCCCATGCTTTTTGGGTTCCACGATTGCCACGTACGGAAACATTTTGTTTACGAAACTATGGCCTTCATATCTCAACTGCTCACTTTATTTAAAAAAAAATAAAAATTAACCACTATCAGGAAATCTATTGATCACACAACAGTAATTCCTTTATTGGCTCCATTTCCTTTTATTGAATTTTGTCACAAACTTGTGTGTTTTAACTTCCTCTCAAACACTCTTGCAGGTACACTATTTTCAAGGACCATGTTTCACTGGGAAACTGTATTCTTAAGTGAGACTTTGTCCAGCCCATTGGCTGTTGGTAGGCGACTGAGGGACATGCCCTGGGGTTCGGCCTGCCACAGACTTTGGGGGCCTTGGGTCCTGGTGGACATAGCGTTCAGTGGTAGGAGGTTGAGGGAGGGGTGATACAGCTGTGGTCACTCCCTGGCTAGTGTGCCCATTTGAACTGCCATGGTCCTGCCTCCTTCTCTACTGGCCCTGCTGCTGCCCTGTGCTGAAGGACCCCTGCCATGTGCCCTATTCCCTGTGCCGGAGGTAGAGCTAACTAAGTTGCCGCTACTGCCCTGTGCCCTAGGCTGAATCTGGTCTGAAAGGAGCCCCATAGTCCAGATCTGGCTCAGTTTGACACCTCTGTTGCAGAGCTACTTACGGAAGGCAGCAACATCCTCCTCAGGCTGGACAAGAACAATGCCTGCTCTCATAAGTGCAAGACCTGGAGTGAGACTTAATCACAATCTTCTCCTCTGTGACAGATTTTTAAGACTTGCCATGTTGGAACTGACTCTTCTTAACAACACACTTTTGCAAGGCTGAAATGGCCACAAACGCAGGTGTTCCCCTGTAGCAACAGCTATCCCTGACCTGTTAGAAACCCAAGTCAACTGCTGTCACAGTTGAGTTGAAACCTCATGGCAAGAGGCAGCTTTGCAGATTTGAAAGCATTTTTATTTTAAAGGTAAAATGAAAGTAACAAAATATTGATTACAATGTATTCGACAATGGTCTTTGCTCTCAGGCACAAAACTGCAGTGCTACCTAAACTTTGCTGATGTTAACACAGAGTTTTGTAGCATCAGGTAATGAGCAGAGTGTAAAAATGAAAATTTGACAAGGCACAACGAGCTAGATGCTGCCACATGACGCAGTAAACCAGGCCCTGTGGCTGACTTCTGACTGCATAACACTGCTCCTATACATTACTGTAAGTGCTTTGAGTCGTCTGCAAGTCATGTGATGTTTAAATTAAGGGAGGAGTTTGTCTAGAGGTTTCTACATCATGAAGAAAATAATTTAAAATCTTCCAGATATGATCTGGGCAGCAAAGCTCTGTCAAGAAAGTATCAACTTTGTCAGCACAAACCCAGGGCAGAGTCCTGCAAGCCATTCCTTCTAGGCATGCTTTGAAATGTGCATGCAGGGCAGCTGCATGGCTCATTTTCAACCAGAGCTAGGTTTTAGCTAGTGTCTCTGGTTTGGGACGGGCAGCTCCTCTTGGGCAAAGGGAGGATGGTTCACTTAGTGCAGTGGGTCTCAACCTATTTGCCATACTGGGCCATACTTGCAGCTCTCAATGCATTATGTGGGCCACACCCCACAGCTGACGGGACCCCCAGCTACCAGAGCTACAGGACCAGGGCCAGGGCTTATAGCACCCTGTCCCCCCCCAGCAGTGCCCGAAGAACTCAGTGAACAGTTGTTCACCAAGCCCCCTACATCAGAGGCGTACATCAAGGGCTTGGTGAACAACTGTTCAGGGCATCCTTGGGGAAAACTAGGAGTAATGGTCACAAACTCCTGGAAGACTGTTTCAGGTTCAACATTAGGAAAAACTACTTCATAACTAGGGTGTCCAGACTGGAATAAGCTCCCTCCAGAGGTGGTACAATCACCTACCCTGGAAATCTTCAAAAGGAGACTGGACAGTCACCTTGCTGAGATCACCTGACCCCAGTTGTCTGTCCTGCTTGGTGCAGGGGGCTGGACCCGATGATCTTCCAAGGTCCCTTCCAACCTTACAATCTATGAATCTATGAGCCACAGCTGCCGCTCATAGGCAGTACCACTTGCTGCACCTGGAGTGGAGTGTGGAGCCTGGCTCCCCTTCGCCCCCACCAGTGGCACAGTTGGGCAGAGCCAGTTGGGGGTGGATGTGGGCTGCCTGCTGTAGGTGCAGGGCTCCCCACCCTGCTACCCTTCCCTTGGCACCTTTGCGACCCAGCGGACAGGATCCGGCACCAGCAGGCAGGGAGGCTTGGTCCTGATGCCGGGATCCCCACCCTGGCTATGCTGCCGTGACAATATGTCTCCAGCTCACCTAGCAGCAGTGGCGGCATGAAGTTGTGCTCCCCACTGCTGCCGGGTGGGCAGGGGCACCTTGCTGTGGCTGGTGTAGGGCTCCTGGCAGCAGGAACAAGCCTCCCCGCGACACTGTGCCATGGAAGCCCCAGCGGGGAGGGCAGCAGGGTGGGGAGCCCCAGGCCTGC